CATTAAACAGTGAGCTCCTGGAAGGATGCACCTACATCACATTTATTTGTAGTCTCCACTGCCTTCCACAGTGCCTGAAGTATAGCCTGAGCTCCATAAATATTTGATAAAAGAATAAAAAATGAAGGAAAGTGTTACCCATCTCTCTTTGTGTTAGTAGAGCAGGCTCAGGAAAGAGGACAACATCTTGTAGTGGCTAGAGGAAACTGGAGAGGAGAAAATAGATTTTATTTCTGTGGTTGCTCCATGACAACTACTACATTAGCACAAACACACTGAGAGAGTCCACTATGTCTTTGGGATCTGGATCTACCTGGAAGTCCCTGATTAGCACCGGTGCTGCCTAAATTTTCCTCATGTAATTTATTTTGAATAAACTGTTGTGTGTGTTGTCCAGTAAATTCTGACTCAAATCAGCCTTATAGGACAGAGTAGAACTGCCTCACAGGGCTTTCCTAGTCTGAAATCTTTGTGGAAGCAGATCACCAGGTCTTTCTGGTGGGTTCAAACTGCCAACCGTTTGGTTAGCGGCTGAGCTCTTTAACTGTTGTGCTACCAGAGCTCCTTTTGAATAAATTAGAGTCTCCCAATGGGAGCTCTGGTAGCATAGTGCCTAAGGCACTTGACTGCTAACCAGAAGGCTGGTGGTTCAAACCCACCAGTCACTCCCTGGAAGGAAGGCTGGGCAATCTACTTCCGTAGTGATACTGCCTTGGAAACCCAAGGAGGGGTCACCGTGAGTCGGGCCGACTCAATGGCAAATAACAACAGAGTCTCCCAATAGATTGGAAATTCTACAAGGCCTGGACAGGGACAGTCTCTGTTTGGTTTGGGCTTGCCATTTTGTGCTCAGGGCTTATAATAGAGTTAGTACTCTATGCTGTATGAATGACTGAAGCCCGTCTTATGTGTCTGTTCCATAGAAAGGAAGTAGGAGAGGACTGCTGGGGGGAGAGTTCAAAGTTTTGAATAATTTCCTAAATTATATTATTGTAAAAGTTTTAGGGGAATACCCTTTGCCTTAATTTGTCCTCTTCTTTGTTCTTTGCAAAAGAAGAAAGAGATCTTATCTGTCATCTTCTATTTGTAAAAAAAAATTAATATAAACCCTGAAATCACTATTGCTATTCAATGAATGTCTGCCAGAAACCTATCAGCCCAAATTCCCTTTTCTGCCCCTCAGTTGGAATGAATGAATTTTGAGATTGACCCTCAGGTTTTCATGGCGGCATGAGGCTGGCCCAGGAAGTGGACTTGGTGGTCTTGGGAACACAGGTCTGCCTTTCACTGTGGCATTTGGTACTAAAGATGCCAGCAGTTTGTGATGTTCTTTTCATACACAGCTTCCTGCTTTGTCTGGAGGCCTCCTTCTGACCTAACCTCCATTTGGCTTCACCCAAATTTGGAGGTAACAAAATGCTTGCATCAACTGAGACCAATGGAGACAGCATATTTTTCTAAAAGCTGAAACATGTTTGTTTATGTTCTTAAGAGTAAAATATAATATATCTTGCATATAGCTTTAGAGTTGATGAAAAGACATAGTGGTGAAAGGCAAATGTCATCTGCCCTTCATTGTAGAAGATGGGGTAGAAACAGACTTATTATGTTCAGTAACTCTGATCACTGCAGGCTTTGTTGTTGTTAGGCACTGTCAAGTCTATTTTCCTCAGTGACAGAGTAGAATTGCCCCACAGGGGTTTCTAGGACATAATCTTTACAGAACAGAGCCTTGGTGACTCAATGTTGTTAAGCTCTTGACTGCAAACTGTTCATCAGTGTTTGAACCCATCCAGCTGTTCAGTGGGAGAAAAGATCTGGCGATTTGCTTCCGTAAAGATCACAGCTTGGGAAACCCTTTGGAGCAGTTCTACTCGTCCTATATAGGTTTGCTATGACTAGGAATCAACTCAATGACACACAACAACAATCTTAGCAGCTGAGTACTTAACTGTTGTGCCACCAGGGCTCCTTGCCCTCCAGAATTTTTGAACATTTTCTCAACAGAGGGGGAAAAAAAAAAAAAAGAAAAGCTGATTCTTTATGAGTGATTTTATTTTTCTTCTCATCCCATCCTACTTTCCTAGCTCTACCCTTGGGCAAATGCTGTCCTCTTGATTTCATATGCTTGATTGTTGTAACAAGCGCATACTCTCCTGAAATTACTGTTCACCTTATAGGTCTGTTTATCGTTTGGCTGCCAGTTGAGTCACAGGGGTTTTAAATTCAGTTCCTAGCTTGAAGGAGAGTCTAGGGGCCATAGTCTAGGGGGTCCACCAGTCTTCATAGACCCATAAGCCAGGCTTTTTTTTTTTTTAAAGTTTGTGAGCAGCCATGTAAGATGCAACTCAATAGTTGTCGATAGCTGTTTCTCCCCATTAGGAGCAAAGAAGAGTGAAGAAAACCAAAGATGAAGGAAACAATTTGTCCAAATGACTAATGGAACATGTGAACCCCAGTCCCCATGACTCTGAGACTAGAAGAACTAGATAGATGTTGCCTGGCTATCACTTCTGACCACTCTGAAAGAGATTATAGTATGAAGTCCTGGATAGTTTGTTCCACAAAACTCAAAATCTATGAGTCATTTAAATGACATATAGTAAAACCACAGTTAAGACCAGAGGAAGAACGATTACAGGACTACAGAAACATTAAAGATGGGGTAACTGATATCCCCACAGGTAACACAATTGAGTTATAAGATGTACGATACCAGTAGACTATACAACCTGCTTGAGAACATGGACCAGTTTCTCATAATTTTTGGTCATCTCTCAGTATCTAATTGTGATACTTTGCCCACAGAGTGGGTACCTCACAAATTTCAGCTCAACTGATATTACTGGAACTGTATCCTATGTACAGTCATTCCAGAGCCAAGCAACCTGAGACCCCAAACGGAATCTCTGAGATGTTTTCAGTTTTGAGGACTGCTAGCACCAGCCACTCCTCGGAAGGAAGATGGGGCAATCTACTTCCGTAGTGATACTGCCTCGGAAACCCAAGGAGGGGTCACTATGAGTCAGGTCCGACTTGAAGGCAGATAACATAACATAAGCTGTTATGAAAGGAGCTCTGGTGGTGTAGTGCCTAAAGCATTTGACAGAAGGTTGGCGGTTCAAGCCCACCAGCCACTCCACAGAAGGATGACTAGGCAGTCTACTTCCGTAAAGATTTACTCCCTCAGAAACCCAAAAGGTGTCACTATGAGTCGGAATCGACTCAATGGCAGTGAGTTTGGTTTTTCTTTTCTTTTCTTTTGATATGACTGATGGCAATGGGATTTCAGGCACTGAAAAGTTTAAAAGGAATCAGGAAAGCTATTATGCTGGTTTTCACACTATATTTATAAGCAGGGAGTAGAGCTTATTGCATTGGATGGCTGAGGGGAATTGAGGCAATTTTTTACAAAAGAAAAGGTCCTCTGAAAGAAATGGCAAATAATGTTTCTCAGTTAGCATGAATCAACTATACCTTAATTAACAGTAACCTGGATTCTATGGATATTTAGTACAAGTAAAATTATCTCTTCTGACAGAGTTTTGGCAACATGATGGTACACTTTTAAATAGTTCATTATTACAGGTAAAGGGACTTAAAGCCTCATCACATAGAAATCAGACACTACTATTAAAAGGAACACAAGCACCTGGAGAAGTTTCCAAAGGGTCATTTCTCAGAAAAAAAAGGGGGGAAAAAAGCTTAACCAGTACTGCAAGGAGGAGGATATATTCCAGGATTATTAGGAACCTATTACTGAAAGCAGGGAATATGATCATTAAATAAAAAAGGAGAAGAATATAAGCAGCCATTGGGTCAATTCCTAAAGGAAGTGAAGCAGAATGCTGTCCTGTGTTGCTTAGACTAAATTCTGGGATGTGTTACTTTTTCATATCCTTGTTTGATTGATGACATTTATTTTTTTTAATGAATGCTCATCATTTTACAAATTTTCCTTTGGATTCCAGAAGGTTCATGTTTGTTTCAATCTTTATTTCACCTGGCCATTACTGTAGAATAAGAGTAGATGATGTGGATTCAGTAATGGAAAGTAACTGACCAGCCAGCTTCATGCACAAAGTTGATCAAACCTAGGTACTTAGAATCCATGTTCTCAAGTCTGGCTCTTTGTTTAAATGAAGAAAAAAAAAATCAATAGGATGGCTTGAGAGGGACATCTCCCCATCCTCACAGAACACAGACGAGCTGTGTGTCTATTAGTTTGGATCCTGTTGGAAAATTTGTGAACAACTGAAAGGGTTTATCTGACTATTGTGAAATTAAATAATTGTGATTATTTAATTCTTACTGTGAAAGGATTAATTTGGGCATTATGACTTTCCATGTGTGGAAATGGAGAAGGTACTCAGGTATCATACAAAAATTAAAAATCCCAATCCACATGGAAGAGGTGCTGTGTCCTCTGCTGAACAGTTAACACACCTCTAACTCTTCCTTTCCCTTCCTTACAATTGTGATATACTTCGTTGGTTTTGTGTGTGAATATGAACGTGTTAATAACCTTCATAACGGCCTGGGCTAAGGCTAAAGTTTTACCAGATTTATTTTTCTAGTAAAAACATGACTTTATCAATCATTTCTATCCCAATGCATATGCACAGTAAATGTTGATTGACTCTGGTCTTTCTAATAACAGTAATGGGAAATTGGGACAAAGACTGTGCTGTTTTGGCTAATACTGCTCTTTAAATCTCAGACAATAGCTAAACTGTCAGCTAATTACCCCCTGGGCCCCAGGCTTTCACTGAGATCTTCTAAAATACACAAAACCAAAGTGAAGGCAGGATGACATTAGCACTACATAATTCAAGCAAACAGTAAATGTGTTTACACTGCCTGGCTACTGACACCTGCCTCCCATCCCACAAGGCAGGTATCTATATATAGGATTTCCTTGTTTTAAGTTCTGCAGAAACTGAGCCTCTCCTTGGGCCTCCCCATCTGCAACATTGAAGAAAATCTTGGACTCCAACAGCATGCATCTCCTACTACTTCAGCTGTTGGTGCTCTTGCCTCTGGGGAAGGCAGGAAGGCACCAAGATGGTGGGCAGAGTCAGCATTCTCTCTCCCTTGAGCTTGTAGAAAGGAGCCGCAGAGAGCTTGCCACGGGCAACCACGAAGAGGCTGAAGAGAAGCCAGATCTGTTTGTGGCAATGCCACACCTGGTGGGTGCCAGCCCTGCTGCGGAAGGAGAGAGACAGAGAGAGAAGATGCTATCCAGGTTTGGCAGGTTCTGGAAGCAGCCTGAAAGAGAACTGCACCTGCCTGGGGATTCCATCAGTGAACACTTCCCACCTGGGACCCAGGCTTTCACTCAGTCAATGGATGGGAGAGAAGTGGAGAGATCTCCTCTTCGGGAAGAGGCCAAGAAATTCTGGCACTACTTCATGTTCAGAAAGAGCCCCACTTCTCAGGGGGTCATCTTGCCCATCAAAAGCCATGAAGTACACCGAGAGGCCTGTAGGACAGTGCCCTTCAGTCAGGTATGTGTTCTTGGGGAGAAGTGATGCATGATTACTGGAGAGCAACGGAAAGCTGGGAAGGTTGGAGGGTAAGGTAAGAGGCTGAGAGGAGCCTGAGGATAGCTCAACTGCCAGATTTGGTCCTTGGGCATTCATCAGAGGATTTGGCAAAACATTGTAATACTTTCAAATTTCCTCCCAGCTTTTCCATTGTTTCTTAGTATTCTGGAAATGATGCAAGAAAGTACAACTCTGCCAACATCAGTAATAATTCATATTTATGCCAACAAGGTATATTTTATGGGATCTTATTTACTTTTATTTTGGGGATGGATAATGCAGAGAGATAAGTGATACTGTACCCTCAGTTAGAAGACTGGGAATTGGAACAATTACCAGAACTTCTCCTAGTTATATCTTTGCACTCTAGTAAGAGGTGAATGAGCAGTTCAGCACCATCTGTGGATAAGGTGGTGTACATTGAACCCCTGTTTGAACATCCTCACACACATTTCTGATGATCGTAATCCTCATATTTCACACCTAACTACATCGTAGGTTATAAAATATGTTGAAGTTTTCAAACATTATTTTTAGTATTACTGTAGCTAAAAATATTGTTTTACTTATTTTCTCATAAACTTTCAAAATAAAAATCTTGATGTGAAATCCCATCTCCTTCTCTTCCAAGCATTTATCTCCTAATTCCAGTTACATTGGCTGATTTCTGGTGACCATGATCAGTTACAGGCTACTAAGACAAAGGAGCATTCCACTATCTTCTTTCTTCAGTCTGGGTACTCCATGTAACCCAAATGTTAAATTAAAATTGAGGGATTGCATCAGATCCTTAAATTTGAAGATAACTGAATCAAAAGCAATACAGGGAAGAGTAAAATTTTATAGTCCAGTAATGTTTCTCAATTAAGTGGGCAGTATTATGAGGTCAGGAGCTCTGGAGGTGTAGTGCCTAAGGCATTTGACTGCTAACCAGAAGGCTGGTGATTCAAACCCACCAGCCACTCCTCAGGAGGATGACTGGGCAATCTACTTCTGTAGAGATACTGCCTTGGAAAACTAAGGAAGGGTCACTATGAGTCAGATCTGACTCGATGGCAGTGAGTTTGGTTTTCTTTTTTTATTATTATGAGGCAAGGCACTTAAGTATTCTGCTTGAAAAGAGAAGAGTATGTAGCAATGACAAGTCAATTATCAAATAATTACTGTCTTGTTGGCCTATATGCAATTAAAAAATTGCTCCTAAGAGTCAGTCTAGCAAGTTTTCTTTGAAATTATAATTTTGAATAGTATTGCTAATTAAATTAAAATTAAAGTGCCTGATTCTTCCCTATTTTGAAGGGCACATAAAGCTGTGTGTATGAGGTTATGGGAGAGGCAGTGGTGATGTAATGCATGATGATGTGCAAGCATGTGTGTTGCAACTTTGCTCCATAGAGTTGAATGTATTAGCAAAAACTAAAACCTAATCCATTGCCATTGAGTTGACTCTGAATCACAGAAACCCTATAGGAGAGACTGGTACTGTCTTATAGGGTTTCCAAGGCTGTAATCTTTACAGAAGCAGACTGACATATCTTTTTTCCACAAAGCCACTGGTTGGTTGGAACTGCTGATCTTTCCAGTTAGCAGCTGAGTGCTTAACCATTGCACTGCCAGAGCTCCTTTGAATGTAGTACCAAAACCAAAACCAAACTCTACAGGACCTGCAAAATAGAATGTAATTAAACTCATGATGTTCTGATCTATTCTGTGATCAATTTAACAAACATGAATTGAGCTGAGAACCCATTATGCCAAATGCACTGTGAGGATAGAAAGACAAGATGCCTTATCTACATAAGAAGTTGTTGTTGTTGTTGTTAGCCATCGAGTCGGCCCCGACTCATAGCGACCCCTCCTTGAGTTTCCGAGGCAGTATCACTACGGAAGTAGGATTGCCCAACCTTCCTTCCGAGGAGTGGCTGGTGGGCTTGAACCGCCAGCCTTCTGGTGAGCAGTCAAGTGCCTTAGGCACTATGCTACCAGAGCTCCTACATAAGAAGTTAGCCATTAGAATTTTTCTAACCCAATTAGATAAAATTTCATACAGTTTGGAATGTTAAATATAGAATAAAATATTTTCATACTAACTTAGTAATTTCCTAAAGGCTAATTTATTAATTTGAAGTCTCTAGATGGTACAAATGGTCAACGCCCTTAGTCGCTAACTCAAATGTTAGAGGTTTGAGTTCACCCAGAGAAGCCTGGAAAGAAAGCCCTTAAAATCTACTTCTGAAAATTCAGCCATTGAAGACCCTTCGGCCGCAGTTCTACTCTGACACACATGGGGTTGCCACGTGTGTTGATAGAGTTGATGCAATGGAAAACTGATTTTGTTTTGTTCATTTAATTTATTAATTTACTCAATAAAGAAAGTTTAGTAGAGGCATGCCCTTAAAGACAACATCATTTAGACGTTGCAAAATGTATCAAAAACTGGAAAGCTTTTGAAATTTTAGTCTAAATTATCTTCAGACTTACAGCCTATAATTTCTGCATGGTGTGTATTAAAGAAATGGCTAGAGATAATTTTAGGAAATGTGTTTGCCTTTTAGACTATCACCCATGAAGACTGTGAGAAGGTAGTTGTCCAAAACCACCTTTGCTTTGGGAAGTGTGGGTCTCTTCATCTTCCAGGAGCTGCACAGCATCCCCATACCTTCTGCTCCCACTGCTTGCCTATCAAGTTCACCATGACGCACTTGCAGCTGAACTGCACGGGGCTGGCCCCTGTGGTCAAGGTGGTCATGCTGGTGGAGGAGTGCCAGTGCCAGGTAAAGACAGACCATGGGCATGGACACCTGGAACAGGCTGGCTCTCAAACAGAATTCTACGCCCAGGGTTCCTTTATCCCAAGATCTTCAAGTTAAAAAGATATCCCACTATGACCTTTCCCAAATAAAACCACCACAACAAACTTGCTGATTCTTAGTCTGGAAATGTTAAGCAGGTATGTGTATTTAAAGGAAAGGTGGTTTAAAAAGTAGTTGTAAGAGAGCACCATCTAGAGGAAATGGTCTTGGTCTAGTTATCAGCACATGTTTGGAGTCTACCTACTAACTGCCTGTAGGATGTTCATGGCAAGTCATAGGACCTCATTCCACCTCAAGTTTGTCATCTGTAAATGAAGTGATTGAGCTAGCTGATTGCTGAGCCCTTTCCACTTCTAATATTTCCTGATCTCTTATCTCAAAGTTTTGGTAAATGCTCTGCACCTAAGGAAGAAAAAGAAATAAAGTAATACATTAAAAATTGGCTTCGTTAATAGCTTGTCAAAGAACCAGAAAAAAAAAAGAGTTGGCATATTTTTTGGAAGGCTTCCTTATGCTTGTAGCTGTCTTTGCAGCCTAGATGGTGCAGTATTTTACTTCTATCAAATGGTTAAGTATTTTCATAGATATAAGGAGCAACTTGCTTGGTTGCCTCCTTATGTTTGATATTCCCTATATAAAGTTCTTAATGTCAGATCTTCAGCTTGAAGAAGGAACATTGAAATTGCTTTTAGTGGTTTACATAGGGAAGAGGAACAATCACCAATAGCCAAACAAGGACCTGTATTATTGGGAAGGAAAGATATATGGCCAGTACCAAGTTAGGGCACCCCAGAGATGGTAATGAAAGTTGTCAGGGTATTTCAGAAGACGATGAATTAAACAAAGTTAAAATAATTTAAAATTGAAGCAATTACACATGTAATCCTTTACGCACCTGCATTTTGCATTATTTTGTTGTTAAGTGCTGTTGAAGTGGTTCTAACTCATAGTGACCCTATGTACAACAGAACAAACAGTCCCCAAACCTGTGCCATCCTCACAATCATTGTCATGCTTGAGCCCATTGTTACAGCTACTGTGTCAATCCATCTCATTGAGCACTTAGGTAGTAAATGAGGTTTCTGTATTTGGATGGCTGGTTTTTGCTACTGTAGAAACATATGTATTACAAATTTTATTCAACAAATGCTATAATGGCAAGTTCTGAAAATACTCTGAATATTTTAAGGTATTAAATTTTAGTGTATGAAGCATTCTGGAAACTTTCTGTGTCATTCATATGTCTAATATTTTATCTTTATGTCTCAAAATGCAAAGGTGCTATCTGGAGATTAGTTAGCTAGAAGCATTTGTAAAGACTCCATAGTCTTGTGACATTGGACCAACGTCTCTTCTAACACTGCAGGCAGCACTCTGCCAAGATCTTTCAATCACTGTCTTATAGCCATTGTTTTCCTCTTGCCTATATTTATTGCATGCACATATTGTAGGGAACTTTTCCAACCCAATTTCTTTTTCTGCAATAATTCTTCAAAAATTTGTTTATAAAAATTATTTTAATTATTTTGATTCCTTTACTTTTAGTATACACACAAAAAACTTTCCTAGAATAATTACTATTTTTTTTCAGGAAATAATTTTACGTTTTAATTCTATTACTTTTTAGTCATGCAATCTCACATGATATTCTGCAGAAACTGTATTTATATTTAGTTTATATTCTACAACACACCAATGTTAATAGATATGCACTGCATAGATATGGATGTGGCATTTACATCAGAATATATTATATCCTTTGATGGTCAAAGACTACCAAGATGTGGTCATATGGATAAAATTGTTAAGCATTAATGATATCCCAGCTGGTCAATATATTTTGGGTGCCAAAAGCTATTGAACAGCTGTCTAGTTTGCAATTGCTTAACCCTGATTACATAAACCTATCTCCAACAATTGGCCTATCCTTTTCCTCCTTACCAAAAACCAAAACTAAACCCATTGCTATCAAGTTGATTCTAGCTCATATTGACCCCATAGGACAGAGTCAAACTGCCTCATAGGGTTTCCAAGACTGTAATTCTTTACAGAAGCAGGCTGTTATATCTTTCTCCTGAGAAGTAGCTTGTGCGATAGAACTGCCAACCTTTTGGTTTGCAGCTAAGTACTTCACCCACTGTGCCACTAGGGCTCCTCTTCTCCTCCTTACTCACTTGCAAATCTCTTTTATCTATCATTGCAAGTAGACTGTCAAGCCCAAGCCCCAAACAATCATCTGTTTTATTCAAACTCTGGTCTGTCTTTCCTTTCCGTGTGGATTTCAGATGAGACAGTTGATAGTAGTATCAGAACTCACATTCATAGAGCAACTGCAGGAACTTCATGAAATTGTCTATACCTACAAAAAGGATTGCCAGTGGCCCCATGCCAGTGGTTCTGTGGAAGCATGAGGAACCCAGAGGAAACACACAAATACTACTGTATTGAACACTTACTAAGTGACAGATGTTGTTCTGGATCTTTTACCACAAAACAAAAACAACCAACTCACTGCAGTAAATCTTTACAGAAGTAAATTGTCCCATCTGCCCAGCTGGTGTGTTTGAACCACGAACCTTCTGGTTAGCAGTCAAATGCCTCAGGCACCGTGCCACCAGAAGTCCTTTTTACCTACATAAATTATGTCATTTAATTCTCACAAAAACTATATCACATAGGTAATAATCTTATTTTACAGGTGAGGAAACTAAGTATCAAAAAGCTTAAGTAACTTGCCTAAAATCATTTGGCATATATATTCTATCTGTATTAAAGAGCTGAATTAAATGAGTTACGTCAAAGCTAGTTGAACACGGGAATAAAATCTTTGTTCTGAGAACAAGGGATAAAGGGGAAATGGCTACTATGGTAAAAGTAAAAAAGGCAAGCTATGGTGTCTGCCCTAATTTTTACCACATTTTAACTTAGGTTATTTATTTTACCTGTTTCAATCTTTCTTTCTGGAGTTCCTGACAAATGGTTAAGTACTCAGCTACTAACCAAAAGGCTGGCAGTTCAAATCCACCCAGAGAGACCTTGGCAGAAAAGGTCACAGCTATTGAAAACCCCATGTGTAGTTCTATTCTGAAACACATGGGGTCATCATGAGTCTGAATTGATTCAGTGGCAACTGGCTTGTTATTTTTTGTTTTGTTTTACCTTTCTTTCTTGATTGTAAGATCCTTAACAGCATCTTTGTAATCCCATTATTTCTAACATAATATTCACTAAAAGGTAATACTCAATACATGTAAGCCAAATGAATGAATTTCGGAAACTGCTTTTGGAAGGTGTATTACTCAAGGTTCTTTAGAGAAACAGAACCAACAGGAGATTAGCTAGATAGATTGGCAGATAGATAGATAGTTAGATAGATAGATAGATAGTGTTTTGGTTACCTAGTGCTGCTCTGACAAGAATATACCACAAATGGGATGGCCTTAACAAACAGGAATTTATTCTCTTACAGTTCAGGGGGCTAAAAGTCCAAGTTCAAAGTGCCAGGCTCCAGGGGCTGTGTGATAGCTCCTCGACCTTGGGCTTCTGCTCTGCCTCTTGCTCCCAGCCCACTGAAGCTAGAGGCATCTTTTCACTCAGGCAGCTATTGGCTATTGAGGCTAACAAGCCCAAGATCAACAAATAATATGGCACAGTCTTGATGTTACCAAACCACAGGGCAGGCCATTAACTCACGTCCATTGTAAGTCCCAAGGTTGGCAGAGCATGGCAGGCTGCTGAACAATGACACGGCTACATGGAGGGTCCGATCATGCCATAAACTACAGACTATCCCCAAAGCTTTTCCTTATATACAGGAAGCAGACCACATCCCAAAGGCAGCTACTCAGCTGCTTGTGGTAGATCCCACCATGGAGTTGATTGCCAGTCTCATCATGGGGAATAACTACCACCAGCTGCCCAGCCACTCAACCAGGCCCAGCCAAGTTGACATACAAATTTAACTACCATAGATAGATAGATAGATAGATAGATAGATAGATAGATAGATAGATTATAAGCAATTTGTTCATGCAGTTGTGGGAAATGGGAAATACAAAATTTGTAGGTCAGGTGGTAGGCTGAAAACTCTGGTAGAAGATCTCTGTTATAGTCTTGGGGCAAAATCCTTCTCCCTTCAAGAAACCTCAGTGTTTTGCTCTTAAGGTCTTCAACTGATTGGTAAGGCCTATTAGATTATTGAGTATAATTCCCTTATTTGAAGTCAACTGATTTTAATTGTTAAGCCTATCTAAATAACTTCATAGCAACATCTAGACTAGTGTTCAACCAAACAATTGGGCAGCGTAACCTAGCCAAGTAGACACACAAAATTAACCATCACAGTAAGATAGGCAGTGTGCATAGCATGGGAAGCTTTGAATGGCAGCCAGTGGGCTTTAGGAATGTATCTGGTAAGCAATGGGAAGGTTTTTTTTCTTTTTTTAAAGAACTTTGAGCATATAAGGATAGTATTGGTCTAAAAGAATAGCTTTAGAGAGGTCAATGAACCCCCTGAAATGTGTGTACATGTTGTGCAGATATGGGCATATTTTAGGGGAGAAAGTGCCAAATTTTCACAAGCCTCTCAAAGGTTTCTATGAGTCCCCAATTTTTCTCAGTAGGTGTGAAAAACTACAGTGGAGAGAAAACCTGAAGGCAGAAGAGCTAGAAGAAACCTTAGAAATCAGGGGGCACAACCCTCTTTCCACCAGCACTCAGGAGAGTAGGGCTTTCATTTTAGAAGCAGAGAATGAATTTTAAATCATCTCAGCAGGTCCTCTTCACCTTGTTTGATCTAATATTCGTGTTCAGAAACTTACAGTGGTGAAATAGGTGAGCAAGAAATGAATGCTTTTCCTGTAATACTAGTTTTCCAAAGACAGCCCTCACGTATCCACCCACGTTTCTAGGACAGAGTTCAGGTTTTCATTTTATTGCCTTCCGCCCTCTTATTTGGTTTTGTTCCTTTTCCTTCCCTCCAAAAGAAACAATCACCAGTGACTCACCTGTGGGTAGGAAACGGAGTTAATGTTTTTCAAGGAAATTATCGCAACTTC